TCTCTGATTCACCGGTGCGGTCCTAACCCTCCCTCTGGTCAGTGCAAGTCACCGACAATATAATACCTTTACTTTTACATGGCATCCTTCACAGTTTAAAAAGCTACCACAGGGCAACCCCTTCAGGTCCCCTCTCACTGTGGGAGCTTTTCTGTCCTTTCAATAAATCCTGCTTTAAAAAAAAATTTAAAAAAAGCTACCACATACATGATCATACTTTAAACCAGTAGTTTCCAAAATATGGTCTCGCGGCAGCACCTGTAGCACCTGGGAACTGTTAAGAATGCACATTTTCAGACCCCACCCTAGACCTACTGAATCAAAATTGGGAGGAGTGGACAGCAATATGTGCTTCTACAAGCCCATTCAATTATTCTGCTGCAGCTAAATTTGGACAACCACTGTTTTAAAATAATCACTTAAGGGGAATAGAAAGTGAAAATATACTAAGGAAATGAGAATACAGATAATTTACAGATGAGAAAAACTAAAGTGTAGAAAAAAATAGTATGCCGAAGATCACATATGTATTTATTAAGTGACAAAGCTAGGATATTAAGCCAGATTTTCAGATTCCAAGGTCAGTCAGTGTTCTATCTGTAACACTATATTAGCCCTCATGTCTGCATTGTAAAAAAGAGAATGCAATTGTTTGACCATCTGCTTTCTGAAAAAGATTAAGTGCCAGAGCAGTGACCCCAACACTAGCTCTGCATTAGAATTAGCTGAGTAATGGGTTAAAAATATGCATTCCTTGGACCCTGCTCAGATCACCTGTATCAGAATCTCCAGGGTAGGAGCTAGGAACTCAATTAATATGTTTAATAACTTTCTAAGTGATTTTTATTTAGACAGGTCAGCAAAAGACCACAATCAGATATTCAGAGCTACTACAGAAATCCTTGGATTTGACTTGGTACTTGCTTCATCCAGAAATTCTGGCAGTATTTCTGCAGGCACAGGCTTGCATCTAGTCTTAATCTGGAGTTTTAAGCACGTTAATGGATATGAAATGAATTTTTCAGAATCCTATTTCTTAGAGACTAATTATCTTAACTGTGCACTCCTAGAAGTTGGCCCCTCCTCTTGAGTAATGCAAAAAAATATTGCAATGAAAACTGGAAGTGATAGAGGTTATGGAAAAATGGCAACAGCTTTGAATATCTCAGCAGAACTTTTACTATTTCCACTTATGGAAATCATGACTGATTGGTATGCTGAGGGCTTGTAAATGAATAAGACTAACCACAGATATTTTAAAACATCTCTCAGAAGCAGAAGGTGGCTTCTGACTTACAGTTAAACTTATAATATTGACTTTGCATTCTATTTTATATTAAGAAATACTGTAAGTTAACTATAAGTTAGGGTCTAGCAAGTGCAGACTAAATAAATTCTGAATAAATGAATGAACAAAGGCCCTTGCCCATCTCCAATTTGATGAAAAACTAGCCATTTTCTAAGGCTCACTCTCTCCTTTCTATGATATTGTTAAAAGCAGCTCCAATACACAGCTTCCTCTTTTAAATTGACAACATACATTTCTTATATACTCAAAGGGTTGTAATTTCTACTTTGTCTTACAGGGATCACAAAATTCCATAAGACTCCCCCTTGCAACTCTAGCAAATAAAGAGTTATCGGGGGATGGAGGCAAGATGGTGATTGAACCCGCTGGGAATGTGAGAATTTCTGCAAAAGTGAGTATCCATAGAGAGTCTCTGCATGAGTGCATGTGTGCTGGTGAGTGAATGGGTGCTGGTCTGAGGGGAGACTTGGGTTCATGCATCCAGGGATCTCCTCCTGAGGTGACTGCAACCACCACCACCCTGAGATTGGAGGACTTGGTGTGCAGGATTGTCTGCTGTTCTCAGGGCTCTCTTGAGAGGAGGCAATAGAGAGCAGCTGCTCCTCCACCTGGCACCCGGCCCATGCCATCTCCTGTGGCAGCAGACCAAGCATGAGCTCCAGGAACCATGGAGAAGGCATGACATGTAGATCTGGAGTGGACCCCTGCTGGCAGTGAGGAGATGCAACTGACATCATCTTCTCTGTTGTGGGATTAGGCAGAAAACTGCAGTGCCCCACCTGGCTCTGTCTGGCCTCCAGCCTGGGACCCAGAGGCTATGCCCTCATTGGACTCAGAGAGACAGACATCCCTCCCCAACACTGGAACAGGCACAGACACAGCATATCTGAGTGAGAGACTTGACAGCAGCAGCAGCGGGAGAAGAGTTGAGGGGGCAAACATATACCCTCACTACATGGACAGACTGTAAGGTGGTAGGAAGTGAGTTCCAGGGGGCCCATACTCCTGTTAGCAGATACTGGAATTTGCATTTAGCTTCTGAATGACAGCTCTCCCTCCTCCCCCAGTTAAATCTCAAAACCACAAAAAGAACAGCTCTGTGCCCATAGTCCACCTTCAAAATTAAACAAAACCAGAAGATCTACACAAGGAAGAATAGGAGACTGAGCAAACAGAAGCAAAAGATATGCCCCCATCCCTGAACAACAGAATTAAAGAAGAGGCAAAGAAAGAGGGGGGCACCTACATAAATGAAGAAAAACCAAAGGAAGAATATGGGTCCTATACAGACCCCTGGGAGGACAACTGAGGATACAGACTTTGGAACTCAAACAGTGAAGAACCTCCAGAATGACTGGTCTCAAACCCTAAACCCAGATATCTAGATATTAATAGAGAGAATAAATAGAAATGAGGAGAGACAATAGGAAAGAATGAAGGGGTTGATAACTGAGATAACAGCAATAGTAATACAGTGAATGAAATAAATAATAAACTCATAAGCATGGAAAGCAGAATTAACCAATCAGAGCTTGGGGACCAAAATATGGAATTAAACCAAACTGCTAAAAACACAGAAAAGAAGCTTAAAAAAACAGAACAAAGCCTGTAAGCGATGAGTGATTATATCAAGAAGCCAAACCTAAGCTTATTTGGAATCCCTGAGGCAGATAGAGAGACAGAGACCACCCTGGAACAAACATTCCATGAAATTATCCAAGAAAATATCCCTCATCTCATCAGAGATGTGACCATTCAAGCACAAGAGAATCAGAGAACCCCTGTAAGACACCAAATGAGAAGACCAACTCCTAGACACATAGTAATTCACTTATAGAAAGTAGTTATAAAAGAAAAATTCCTAAAGGCAGCGAGAGAGAAAGGTCTACCTAGCAGGGAAGACCAATTAGAATAGCAGCAGATTTATCTACCAAAACACTTCAGGCTAGGAGAGATTGGAGTCCAGTCTTCAGAGTTCTCAAAGTTAAACAATTCAACCAAGAATTACCTACCCATCTAAGTTAAGTTTCATCAGTGATGGAGAATTAAAATCCTTCCCAGACATTCAATCCCTAAGAGTTTACGCTGCCTCCAGACCAGCTCTACAAGAAACACTTAAGAAAGAAATTAAGCACAGAAGAGAAAAAAAAGAAGGACAATACCTTTCCCAAGAGTGCAGGGAAAAGATTAAAAACACACATAAATCAACTCAAAAATCAAAAGAAAGGCAAAAAACAATAAACAGTAGTAGCAACAATAAACTCTATAAGAACCTCATGACAGAGATAAACTCTTACATCTCAATAATTAGCCTGAATGTGAACTGAGTAACTGCACCATTGAAAAGACACAGAATGACAAATTGGATAAAGTATCATGACGCAACAATGTGTTGTCTCCTAAAGACTCATCTCACCAGAAAGGACACTCAAAGACTCAAAGTAAGAGGGTGGAAAACAAATTTTCAGGCAAAGGAACACAAAAGAAAACAGGAGCTGCAATATTATATCAGACAAAATACTGTTTAAGCTATCGAAAATTAAAAAAAGATATGGAAGGTCACTACATAATGATAAAAGTTTCAATTCATCAACAAGAAATCTCCATCCTAAACATATATGCACCCAACATAAGAAAAACAACTTTCGGAGACTTCCGGCAAGATGGCGATGGGGCAGCTTGGTCTGTGAGACCATCTGTGAAAGAGAATACACATAAAGACTGTAGCTCTCTCCCACGGGCTGCAGCTCCCATCTTCAGCAGCCTGCTCTTCATAGGGACCTCTGTCACCACTCTAACATCATGGCGGTCTGGGCTGCTGCCATAGCTGCGGATGCTGCCACTGCGGCCATCGCCCCGGCCATGCCTGAGGTGATCCATGACTTCAGACCGTGAAGCCCCTGGAAGCATGATCTACTGTGATTGCCACCACCGGGGCTGCCGCTGCCGCTGCCACCGCCATGCCTCGCCACACCACTTGCCTGGAGCCAGGCTCATGGAGCTCCTTTGTGTACCAGGAGGCGGCTACCGAGGCTACTGGCTACTGTCGCTCACTCCCTCCCCACCGACTTTCAAGCTTCAGCAGTTGCAGATAAAGATCAACTGGAGTGGTGAGATAGCACCAGCTGCTGGGGATCCAAGGTAACAACA